CTGCTTCCTGTCTTGACACATTATACTGCCTGTATTTGTTTTATTTATAAATCCTTCATAAATTTTCCTAAAGTAGCATGTCAGGCCGATTGTTGTTCTGGTCCAGCCTCTTCTCACTCCTGAGACCATACCACCACCGTCAGCTTCATCGATCACTGTGATTTCTTATGGCCCTCAGTAGATGTGCAAGGGGGGGTCGTGGGGGGTGATGTGGCAGCCTCTTTTTACAGTCAAATGATTGGTTAATGCCTTTGTTAGGGGAATTAGCCGCTTAAACAGCCGTGGACTGAGTTGATGTGTGGAGGAAATGGACAAATGAACAAGTGTTTAAAGTGTGTTCGGCACACAAAGCAGGGCACTGTGGCTGTTAAGGCCATATTAACAGGAACATTAAAACTTAAAACTTTCACTTGAAGAACATTATAAGTGTTATTTGGGGATTCAGCAGTTATCGCGCTGTAAAATCATTTTACCACATTAAAGAAAGAAGAATTAACAGAATGTACCGACTGGCACATAATGACAATAGTACAGAGCTCAAAGCATTCTAAAAAGTGATACTCTCTTTTACTTGAGTTCAAAAAGCTCTCTGTACTACTGTTGAGGTTAGCCAGTAGTTGTCTTGAGACTGGGGGAGTAGTGCACATTCAAAGTCTTTAAATAAGTTATTATAAGTTAGTTAGTTAATTTGTTATAAGTTTGTTATAAGTTGGAATTTTGTGTATTATGATTTTGTCAGCTGTTATTTTTCTGTAATGTGATGTAGTTGTTTTTTTTAAATGAGTCTTAAATTAAGAAGGAATAAATAGGCTTGACAAACTAGAGTGCATCCTTAGACCTGTTGTGTGTGCCCCACTTTTTTTTTCAAGAGCCTCAAATCAAAACACAGACAAAGTGTTGGGCTGATGGAGAGACATAGACTGATGCCAATACAGTGAACAATTCAGGTATGTGCATTTATAACAGGTTAGAATGAGACATGCCTGGTTTCGACTATAGTGTGTACTTTTTTTTTCACAAGATGTTAGTTTCCTTAATTTAATTTTTGTATCTTGTAACTAGTTGTTATAGCTCAAAATCACTGTAAAACTATTCAGAAAAAGTTCAACACATCATAAATAGCTGTTCAAATGAGCATCAGTTTTGATCCAATAATAATACAGATCTGTTTTTGACTACCCTAAAAGTGAAGTCCATTGTTATTATCATTGGCTGTTTATAAAATTAGTGGAAAAATAGCATGGTCACTCTTTGACAGATAACCACAAATCCCTCACAATCCACAAAGAACTGGACTCAGATCTTTAATGTTGTTACTGAGAAAAGGAGGAAGTCTTTTAATGCTGCCACATGATGAAGCATGTGCCTCTCTAGTATCTGTACGTCTCATCTGCTGACCATAGATCCATGCTGCTGACACACTGTAGGGTTATAACATGGCCACTTCCTGTCCTCCTCTCCTCTCCCACACTCACTCTGTCTCCTCTGAAGTACACAAACCACCATTGTGCGCCCCTTGTCTTTTAATGCGGCCTTAGTCATAACCTTATCAGTCCGTGCGATCTTCACCACACATTTTCTAGATTCCCCACATGCAGATCTGAAATAAAGTGATAATTACGTGACACCCACCAGCAGCAATTACATGAGGTGAAGGGGAAAGAGTCACCCAGAGACGAAAACGGGTCATGGGCTGGGGACGCTGAGATGGAGATAAGAAGATGAGAACCCCTGTATGTCTAATCACAGATCCCATTGTTACTGCTATTAATAATGTAGGAATAAATGTCAGACACATTCCATTAGTATAATAGGACACCCTCAGCTATAGAGTTACAAGAAACAACACAGTGAAGACATACACGTGTGAGACACATGTGTTACAATAGGCTCTGTGCACAGCAGCGCATAGCATTCACACTCTCAGCTTCAAGACTTTACTTCCAAAAATTAAAAATGAGTAAATATTTAAAGATAAGTCAGTGAAGAGGGAGCTGTGGGTGGATGTGACTAACAACATGTTACAAGGACACAAATAAAATGAAAAGTTCAGCAGAGGACACTTCTGTGTTTAGAAAGGTAGAGGTTTGGGTCTCAATGCTAACACTAATGCTAATTTTGAGGTATAATAAAAATTAAAACAACGCCACAAACTGACGTAATCTACATAAAAAATAATTGGGTAGACTTTATTTGAATTAATTTGAATTTTAATAGGTTGGTTATTTTATGTTTTATGATTTTAATAAAAGTGACTGAGCCTATTATTATTCCTAATATGTAGTCCTGTCACAATAACAGATTTTGAAGCAGAAATATTGCAATAATATTAAACTTACTTTAAACCACTGATTAAGATTTAAATATTGCAAGATAATCCCATGAACCATTTTTTATATATACCGTTTCATTTAAAGGCCTGATCTATAACAAATAAATAGTAGAATCTATTAATAATTAGCCATCACAGAGACTTGTTCAACCCTCTACAGCTCAAATCGTGTTGGGGAATACAACTAAAGTACTCCAAATCTCACCTTTTACAAAGAATATGTACCCATCATAAATAATAAGCTCCAAAATATATAGTTCCAGCTTGTATATACTGAATGATACGTCGATATAGTATTTATCATGACAATTATGGTGACAGTCCTACTAATGTGAAGCTCAAGTTCATACAGAAGGCTTGGTGCATGTGTACAGGCATTATTTAAATGATATTACTGGGGCAAACAGCATACATGAACACACTAATCCTCACTGTTCACCCCAGGGTGCTGTGGGTGTTGTGCGGCTTATAGTAGAGAAAATGCTACAGGAGGTAGTCATCAGAAAGCTGGCATGGAAGAGGAGCTCTAGAATGAAAAGGTTAACTGTATGGAAATGTGAGATTATGGTTTTACATTTATTTGGATAAAGATTTTCAATAGTGGTTCTTTGCAAACAGCACAGTGGCATCAGATAGCAGATAGAAGTTATACAGTTTATGCTCCTATAAACGTCAACATCAGTGGCATTTCATATTTTTGTTGCATAATGTTAAATTAATAAATACATACGTGTTGGGTTTGCTGAGATTTTGGTAATATAGTCATACAAGCTTTGCATTTCATTATTCTAAGCACTAAGCCACTAATGTTCTCCAAAGTTTTCACTATTTGTTCAGACATATGTCTCCTAGCATATGCACACTGATCTAGTCATCTTACCAACACAGAGAAAGTTAGATCAGGACACGCTGACACTGTATAATAAGTGGTATCTTAAAGACAGAGTTTTATGCAAAATAGATTTTTGGAGCTTTCTACCCTGAGCCTTCCTACATTCCCTCATCAAAAACGAGCCTGAAGAGGTTTTAGATGTCATCCGTGCATGTTAGCAGTAAGATTATGTCCAATGATCAGCCCATAAGTGACATCAAATAATTTTCCATAAATATTCAATAGCAACAGCTTCACAAACCTGATGCGATGTGCAGTGATTGTGTTGTGATAGTGCTCTGAAGGGGGAGTCACTTATCGCAGAGAGCAAAAGGAGGGAGACAGAGCATCAAAAACAAAAGTTAATGCTATATATATTAGCAGCTTATAGCCCCTCTTTAAGGATTAAGAGAAAATAAAAGACACAGCATTATTACATATGTTCTCCTGAAACACTGAACTCTGGAACATCTTTTCATCTGCTTAATTATTGAAATTTCATAGTTTTACTAAATTGGAAGTTGTCACTGTCCATGATGTGAGACAGCTGCCAGCCACACAAAAGTACAGAAACAAAACGACATGTTGAGGTGTGAAAAGGCAGTCAAATGCTGTGTTATTTTTTTTTAACATTGCTTCACACTGCGTGCATCTGGAGTCACAGTGAATCCCCAGCAGTTTTGAATAAAGAAATCCAATCTCCAGTATTCAAATCTGAGAAGTTGCAATTTCTGCTCCAGTGAAAAAACCTCTTTTGTGTGTGGTGTAGTGCTGAGGGGATGAGTCCTCACCACATCATTTTCAAGGCAAAGCACTTGTTTGAGTGTGCCGCAGTGAGCCTTAGACAAGCTCAAAGAGGCTGGCATAGGTTCAGCTCCACACATAGTAAAGTATAGTCCTGAAGATTTACTATGAAATGTTCTGGAAGATGCTCAGGAAATACTATTAAGACAAAATATCTCTCTGCTGTATTCTGTCCACTATTTTTATGGTTTTCCGAACGTAGAATGTGATGATGGCATATGGGGGCAAGAGCCAGTTTTATTATTGATTGCACTGTACTTTCCTATGAAATATCCATTAATAAATCCTGGAATAAATCATTTCTATTCATGACTAAACCTTATAATAACTCACTATATTTCAACAAGGATCTGCATTTTAAGAATATTCCTTTTAACTGCCCCACATCTCTATTATATATGATTGGCCGAGACTATTTTGATGTCACCTAGATATTTGAGCCAATGTTTTGCAAGTGCATTTCCTGAAACATCTTTTTGTAACTTGGCATTTTAAGTGAACTTTATTAACTAAATGAAAGTATAGTGAAACCAAAAGTTTAGAATAAAGTCACTTACTCTTAACTTTCATTATAATATCTTCAAGTCTAATTTATTTTAACTGGTGGCTCCTCAGCCCAAATAAAACCCAATTATTTAAGATTTCTTTCAGAGTTTTTCTAGTGGTTCCCTCCTCACATGGCTCTCAGATGTACAGCATGGGTTTTATGTGGTTTTGCTGTGTCACTGTGTCATCTCTCAGGACACTTCTTCTTCTCGATGACTTAATCCTTCCACAAGCGTCTCTATTTATCTCTCCTCACATCGGGTTCAGAAAGGAGGTGTCTGGGGAATACTGTGATCCTGTCGGGAAAAGCGTGTGGGAATAGCAGCCAGTCAGTCAGTGATTGAGTGCGTCTCTCCCTGTCTATCCATGTTTATGTGCGACGCACTTCTCTCGCCTCATTTAGCATCCACTCACTATTTTTTCTTTCTGTATTTTTTATCGCTGCAGATTCCGAGGTTCTGTTGCCATGGCGACCGCAGCCCCTCCCCTCCGCCTGTACTTAGCGCTGTGTTGGCTGCTCCGGACCGCCAGCACGGTGTTCCCAGAGGAGCCGGGGCCCCTCAACTTCATTCCCGCTGAAGGTAAGGCTGGCCTCTTGACCTTTCTCTTGCCCTGTACACAGTGGGGGTCATGACTTTTTGTAGGAGTCTGTTCTAATGCTGAAAGGGTCATTGTGCTGGTTGTTTGGGGCAGGCAGACATGGTGTTGATTGCTGTTTCACTCTTAGCATAGGGTCACCCTTTATGAAAGACCACAGGGAAACAGTATGAAGGCCAATAACCAAAAGTGAGCCAAAAAGTGACAGTAAATTGAACAACCATGTCTTACCTAGATTGTCTGATATTCGGACAATCATTTTACTAAGAAGAAAAGGTGAATATTTCCAGTCTATTTGTTTAACTTAATTTAATTTACTTTTCCTGTTGTTTTTTATATACTTAGTTATTTAACGAAAATGCACACAATACAGATAAACAGGTGAAATTTACAACAGCTACTGTAAAAACATAAATACGCCATCACTGAATATTAACAGAAAATGTACAGTTGATCAAGTGTAGCATCAGCAATCATAGATGTACTACTTTGAGTTTCCCATATCATGTGTCAGAGGTCCTGCCTTGTGCTGTTGGGGTCACACTGTTGACGGCTGGTGCCCTCCCAGTCTGACCACAGTGCAGACGTCTACAGGCACTGATACATTGACAACCTGGGACCCTCCCCACTGCTCTGGGCCTCTCTCAGACTGCCGGGCTCCACATCTCCAGCTGAGACAGGAGCTGATCGATGGCAGCTCAATAATATTGACCGAAAGTTTCCCAGAAGACTTCAGAGCCTCTGCTCTATTTCAGCGGTGCAAAAAGAGGACAAAATCATTGCAACACAACCACAAGTACTGTTGTTTTCAGCAGGTACAGCTCAGGTTAAATCATACATTATTATGATAGACAAATAGAGAAATATAGAGAGGGTTGCAAGAGCAGTGTCTATGGCACAGAGCCTTGAAAAAGAATAAAAGAGTAAAAAGTGTTGGGTTGCGTGTGAATAAGAAAAAAGGTGGATATAAAGCAGTAATGATGGCACAGAATAAAGGATTTGAAAGAATCTGATGCAAATTCACTCATGCCTCAGTCAAGGGCACAGACCGAGAGCTGTCCTCATTCTGTGATTTATTAAGGACTATTTTTCTGCTACATGACAAGAAGAAAAGACCTCCACACCTTTATTTTTCATTTCCTTTATCTTTAAGCAAGTCAGGCACAAGGCTAACAAGACATTCTGTGTTAACCTCAGTGTTTTGCAATGAAGTATAATGAGTACCAGGGATATAACATAAGATACAGAACATTATTTGAACTGGAGGGAATTGGAAGGGCTAAACTGTGTACCAGGTTAACTGTGTACTTGTTCTCTTGTGCAGTGGTCCGGAGGTACCCTGTGTTTCTGGGCCGACCTCACAGAACATGGCTGCGACAGGAGCCTCTACACATCCAGAGAGTGCTGCAGGTCAACCGCACACTCTACATCGGGGCAAGGTAATGGAACCTCAATTATACTTTTATGTCATCCTATTGATACATTGCAATCTGTCTGTTGGTTCAGACATTCACTTCTTGCAATGAAAATAAGCAAGTCCCCCCATTGTGTTCTTAGGCAAGACATTTCACCCACCTTGCCTAGTATGAAAGTGATGTGTCACTTCTGTCAGTCTGCCTCAGGGGAGCTTACCACCACCCAATATGGTGTGAATAAATAATAACTACAGTGTAGTGCTTTGATGGGCTTTGACAAACCTGTAAAACACATTACAACTGTAAGGTACACTCCGTAGTTAAAGTGGATCACTAGAAGACTGTATAGTTTTCTAATGTTGTAGTATTAAATGGTATTATTAATAAGAGATGAGAAAAGAGACACTTTATTTGTTCCACAATGGTGAAATATCAGTGTTGCAATGTAAAGTTCAAAAACAGTGAGAGAATGTAAACGTAATGTATGTAAGGTAATGAATTTAACTATAGAAATGCTTTGAACAGAGTTAAGATACAAAAAGTCACAAAATAATAATTAATTAAATAAAAGATATACCTACTTGCAAATCTTGCTTTAAATACATTCATATAAAAAGATGGCCTAATTAAAATGGCACTTAAGATTTTCCATCAAATCCTTATCTCTTGAGTAGAGCTGCTGACACAAGCTGAATGTAAGCAGGCCCATATGTAGCCCACATGCACTGACAGCTTGTACAGAATATTATGTAGAAGACTTATGTTTTATGGAGTGAAAATATTACATAGTCGGTAAGAGTAGAGCATCTTAAGACCCCTAAAGCCCCCCACACGTAATTTGTCTCCAGGTGAGTGCCCAGAGTAAACAGTGTCGTATTTACAGGCCCTGCTCACTGGCCCAGATGTTTTATGTGTTTTTTGTCCAAGAGGACCTCAGCTCGACTTAAGGTTGCATAAGAATAACATGAAACCCCCAAACAACACAGGCCAATAAAAGTGATACATGTTTCAACTACCAGGCACCAACAGGAGCAGCAGAACATCAAGCAGATAAATCATACCAGAAAGATCACTGAACCCAACCATAAAGTACACTTATTTCATTTTTAGGTATTTCTTCTATCGACTCTGGCAGCTATGTTACCATTTCACCATTTAAAAGAGGTAATGTCTTTGAGTTGCAATCAGATTTATTTAAATCTTAATTCCACAAAGAGACATTGGTTACTTAAGTTAATAAAGAAAAAAAAGCAAAACAAATTCTTGCTCTGTGGAATGTCTGGATGCACACCCTGTTATAGAGTTTGCAACCTGCACATGATTGCATTCATTTAATCAGATTCATGCTTGTGAACGAGAGGGGGGAGAAAAAATACAAAATAATGCTGGAATTGTGCTTTTAATCACACAAAAATACACTATCAATGTCAAACTATTTCCAAAAGGCTGCTAAACAACAGATTAATAAAATAATAACAATGTTAAAATGTTAAAGGCACTTTTAGGGAAGGGAATTTTGGACATAGGAGTGTTGGAGATGGAGTGGTGGAGACACTTTTTTAAATATTCCATCCAGTCCCTGTATTTGCAGAGGTCGCTGGTGCTAGGCTAGCGCATGTCAATGAGCATAGTTAGCCTGCCACTAAAAACAGTCTTACCAACTCCACAAAACACCCGAAGCATCACCCGATCTGTGTTGATAGAATCATTTTAGAAGTAAAACCAACCTTGCATTTGAAGGATTTATGTCTGAGCAGCAGCAGCGAGTTGTACTTCCTGATAGAAAGCTTGGCAGAGGCGGACTGATACATGAAAAAATAGTCCCTCAACACGCAACGATTCATGCGATGCAAGGTTAGTTTTATTTTAAACATTATTCTATCAACACAGACATTTACATCCACAGTCTGGCATAATAATAGATTTGCTTCGAGTGTTTTGTGGAGTGGGTAAGACTGTTTTTAGTGACAGGCTAACTATGGCCATTGACATCTGCTAGCCTAGCACCAGTGACCTCTGTAAATACAAGGACTCAATAGAATATTCTAAAATGTGTCTCCACACGTCTCCAACACTCTGGCTAACTAGGAAATGAGGTCTTATGTCCAAAATTCAGGACTGTCCCTTTAAAGGAAGTAAGTGATAACATTGCATTTTTGTGGCAAATTTTACTGTCTGTACATTTCTTTACGATATCGATATTTGAGTCTAGAGAGTTTTGTCAGTATCACCCTTCGTATTATAATCCCCTCTATTTTTTTCATTCATCCTTCCATATGTGTTTAAGTGTTGTGCCGAGCAGTTGGACAGTTTAGACCGTTAGCCTTACTGGTAGTGGTCAGCTTTAGGCAGGACAGCCCCTTCTCATCTGCAGCAGCTTTACAATCTCCAGACTCTAATGCTTCTCCCCCACAGCCAACCGGGAGCCAGCCATCTAGACTGTGCTAACAAAAGACACGCTCGCCAGGATTTACAGCCCGTGTCCAACCAAAAATTAATTTAGCTTGAAACACGGTTACAAAAATCAGACACAGTCACATATGGGAGTGCTTATTTGCTGCTGTTGAAGTGGTTTTCAATAAGAGACGCCAATGTGGTCCAGGAAATGACCCCATCCCACCCGGCCCCCAGCTGGTCTAGCTCGACTACAGACAGTCAGTGGTAAATATATCAAAATGTGTTACAAGCTTCCAGCCACTCAGTCTGCACTGAGTTAGACTGTAAAGCTCCTGTGTATTTAGGCTGATAATAGAAGGGCTAAGAAAAGGGCTACTGTTCACTGTAGGGGTGACTTTAAAGCAGACGTGAATGCACCACTCCAAATCAAGAGTCAAGGCTAAAAGCATATTATTATTGAGTAGAAAATAAAGTATCCATGAAATGTAAAAGCACTGAAAAGTAATTTCAACCATAGACTGCATTTATAATGTCATAGTGTTAACAATTGACTTTACATTGAAAAATTGTCATCCCTCTTTATGTAACTGCTGCAGTGAGCATCATCATTTTGGTCTTTGTTCATATTAACCCTTACATGATCCTGGTGTTTTTGAATGCAAATAAATTCCTATTCCTAATATTGAGCTTGGTTCCAAATTCACTCCTAGAACTGCTAACATTATGAGCTTCATTTGACTGGAGCCAAACGCTAAAGGTAAGGTTCACTACTTCTTTACAATCTGTGGTTTCATCCAAAGAAGTCCTGGTGCTATCAGTATATTACCACAGTAACCTGAATTGGAACAAATGACGCCCTCAACATTCTCATCAGAAACTTTAAAATGTTCCTGTCTAAACATATCAGGTTACAGTGTTGGAGCCCTCGCTTTGTTTAAAAGGCAGTAACTGCAATAAAAAGCAGAGGTAAGTGAAACCCAAAGTAGCAGCCAAATAGTGCCAGTAAAACATAGTATTTAGCATAATGTCTCTGGCTATATTTCTCGAGTTGAAAATAGAGTTTAACATAAGTCGTTAATATTAGTTACGCTTCCCAGTCTGCAGAATGTGATTGTGGTGAATATATGCTAGCAACAGGAGCCTTTAAAATGCGAAATGTTTAAATAAATGCGTGCATGGTGACAGGTATGACTACCAAAAGCTCCCACTGAGTGCGCGGGCTGATAAGACTTCCTCATTCATCCCCAAATCCAGACAGCATTAGCATAGCGGACTGCAAACTCGGCTAAATCTCAGCTCGGAGCGCCTGCTGTGTGAAGCCACCTCTTCCCGTCTTTTTCCTGTCCTCGCTAAATGAAAGTAAACAGGCTCTTTGACTGGGGCCAGGTGTACTGAGTGCTTTGTCACGCTCAGCTTCATTGCACTACTATGAAGGAGGCCAGATGTGGATCCTATGGCTTCTAAAGCATGGTATAGCCTAAAGCACTATATCAAAATGTGTATACTAAAAAGTGTTGACCAACAAAAACAGACAATTTGATTTACTGCTAAACTGCATTTAATCAGGAGAAAAACATACTGAAAAGTGCATGGCTATTTATTGCTATTTTGATAATTGTACTACACTCAAAGGAGCACGAATAGAAAGCAAAACATATAATTTTCAGTCTTGGTTCCTGGGCAATCACCATATGGCTGCTGCACAGTAATTCAAAGTTGACAAGCCACAGAGATTGGTTCCCTCTGTAGGCAACACCATCATTTGAATATGATATATGCTTACAGCTCAGTTTTGTTTAAGTTGTAAAATTAAAGGTCCTATATTATGAACAACTGACTTTTGTGAGCTTTAAGACATGTTAGAATGTTTTTACCTCCCCAACAAAACATACCGAGTCAGGGGTGTAGTGAGTGTGGTATGCGGGGGTACACCATCCACCCACTTCATGAAATATAAAAAAATAACAAATATAAAATAGCCCACAACTTAAATGTCAAACTGGCGTTATTGGCAATGGTGAAAACAACCTGCATAGGCTTATGTACTGTCCTATAGTGACCTGCAACATGTGGGACCCAGGACTTATCCCAGGACTGATCCAGGACTAAAACAGGTCTAAACCAGGTCTAAACCAGGTCTAAGCCAGGACTGAGTGTCGGGACAGGCCTGGAGGTGCGCCCACGTAGACCGTCGGGTGACCACAGAGGAAAGGACCAGCACAGAGCTTCGCGTCCCACGGTGCTCAGCACAGCCATAGCCCAATTGGGCTTTGTGGACAAACTGCTCCACAGGCTTTGAGTTCTCACCCTCTCTCTCAAGTCCAAGATTAGACCTGGTTTAGTCCTGATTCAGTCCTGGTTCAGTTCTGGTTTAGTCCTGGTTTAGACTTGGTTTAGTCCTGGTTCAGGTCTGGTTTAGTCCTGATTTAGACCTTGTGCAGTCCTGGTGTAGTCCTGGTTTAATCCTGGTTTAGACCCGGTTTAGGCCTGATTTAGTCTGGATTCATTTCTGGTTTAGTCCAGGTTTAGACCTGGTTTAGTCCTGGTTTAGTCCAGGTTTAGACCTAGTTTAGTCCTGGTTCAGTTCTGGTTTAGTCCTCCTGGTTCAGTCACGAATCTACTTAAAA